ACAGTAACTAGGAGCTGTCTGACCTCTGATAATCTGTGTCTGGTGTTTTTTTTCTCTGAACATTTTTCCTGTTATGTGTACCTCTCAGTTTAGCAAATACACATGCTTAATTCCTTGTGTTTTTCTGTCTTTTAGTGACAAAAGTCATCTGTGCCCAGCAGTGCTCAGGCCGGTGTAGGGGAAGGGTCCCCAGTGACTGTTGTCATAACCAGTGTGCTGCTGGGTGTACAGGGCCTCGAGAGAGTGACTGTCTGGTAAGACACATCCAGCTTGTTTAAAACATTGACAACAACAGGGTAGTCTTTCAGCTGAATGCCCTGTAACATTCTTTCATCAAAGGAGCATGTCGTGAAGTACTGGCCTTATTAAAATATACACAGCTTAGGCCTTGTCTGCACAGAGAAGCTAGTGTGTAGTGAGCAACAGTATGACTTCATAGCTCACTAGCTGTGCTGCATTAATTTCTCATGTAAACACTCCATATGTGCACCAAGAGTGAGGTAGCTCTCCACTTTCAAGGGCACTTGGGGCATGTCCACTCCCTGTACTACGCCCAGGAGAGCCTCTGTGAAGCATGCTCTGCTCGCGTTTTCTTCCTGCAGATACACCAAATTCCATGATGTAGCTACCGTTGTACTGCGCTGAGTTAGTTTCAGGAAGAAAACCTGAGTCAGGCAACCCACAGAGTGGTGCTGGGCACAGGACAGTGGTGCACTAAGGCTGCTACCTTGCCTGAGTGTTTGGAGTTGGCTTGGAGGGAGCGTGCTTCATGGCAGCGCTCCCAGACATGGTGTGGAGGTGGAGCAGCTCCAAGGGTGTTTTATACATGTGCTCCAAGAGTGGTTGGGGGTGGGAGAGGGGGGACTTTAATTAGAGCGGCTAATTAAGGTGCCTGGAGCATCACGTGTATCAGCATCCTTGAACTGAAAAATGATGGTGATGGTGCTTTAACTAAAGCTCATTGAACAAATTTTAGTTAAAGTGCCCCCACCGCCATTTTTCAGTGGGGAGGCTGATGACTCTGGAGTCTGCTGGAGTATAGTAATTACCATGCTCCAGCATTCAAGTAATTGAGTCTGCTCCAATGTGCTGTAATTAAAGTGTTTCTGAGTAGCCTCCCTGCACATGTATAGGCACCCTGAGAATCCTCACAGAGAGTTAGTGCAGAATAGTAAGGTATGCTACTCTACACCTTGCCCTACTGCAAACTTTCACCCACAGACAAGCCCCACCCCCATGTTCTTACTTGGTGTAAATCAGTATGTTGCCACTTCAGTATAGCTGTGCTAATTGCATCAGCTGATGGTCTGGCCTTGGTATCCCTTACATACCGTTGGCAACTACATTGTAGAATACTGAAGCTGAGACTCTTTAAACTCATACTTGATTTTCATCATTTTAAATTCCTGTTTTGTGTTTCATTCACTTAGTCTGACTGGTCTCTTTTTCTGGTTTTCATTTACTAGAACAATGGTGCTGTTAGGGTTCATAACACTGTGGGTGAGAAGGAATCTAGGAGAAGTCTTTCTGCATTTTATTTTTTAGTCATTACATTTCAATTTTTATGCTTTGTTTTAAACATTTTTTAAACAACTCTAACTCAGCATGAAGTCAGTTGCAGCCAATTCCAATGGAAACTCCATGTCTCTCTTTCTTCTGTTATATATGTTTTTGTGCCTATGGTAAATAAATGACATTCAAACTGTTTGTACCAATTGTTGGCAGAGGACACTTGTTCTCATCAAGAAAGCCAGGAAAGAAAAGAGGGAAGGAATAATTGTAAACAAGAATACGGAATAAGATTTGAGGAAAAGACTTCTCTTTATAAATGCCCATTAAGTTGTTCATTATATGTAGTTAAATGTTATGGCCTTGGTTTAATATTAAATTGCCCAAGTTGGTAACTGACAGCAAAATACTAGATTTCATTAACATTATAAAGAAGTTGCCAGCAAGTAAAACAGACATTTGTCTTGATCTGGTTACTGCTTTTTTTGGCCATTACTTGCTCTCTAATACATCTGAGCAGATTCATGTCCTTGTGGAACCCACCCTCTCCACACATGAGTGTAAGGGTCTGCCCAGGAGGGTTTCATGGTAGCACTGGAGCTTGGCCCAGTAAGGACTTTGTAAAGCAGAAGTGATGTGCACGAATGGATTCAGATAACAAAACCTCCTGCTCTTTAGTTTTGTAAATATCAGACAGGATCTCTGAACTGACCTCAACCCTTTCACCTGAGACCCGTCCTGTAGATTGCTCAGTACCTCTATTGCCTCAAGTACTTCATTGATCTGGCCATGAGGTTATTATACTTTTAAAAACAGATTGCATTTTACCTAGTGCTGTTGTCATACTGTTCAATAACAGGCATGTCGCAAGTTTCGCGATGAAGCAACCTGCAAGGATACTTGCCCACCTTTAGTTCTGTATAATCCCACCACCTACCAGATGGATGCCAATCCAGATGGAAAATACAGCTTTGGAGCCACGTGTGTGAAGAAATGTCCCCGTAAGTTTACTTGGACTGTGTCCATTTTATTTAATGGAAAGCCAATTAATAAATCTGTGTTGGTTTTTAATAGGTGCCTATAACACCTATTTATGACACCAATCCCAAAACTCCTGTATCCTTCCCCCCAGGATAGAAGTTTTGTCTTCATTTAGCACTATTCCCTACCCATTGTCCTTTTAAAATAACATTTACTTAATTCTGGCCTAAAGAATTGGTGGCAGTACCTGAAGATGGCCTAGCTTTGGGAGGCAGGTGACTGGGAAGAATGAGGACAAGACTGAGAATCAGGAAGTGCCTTGTTCTAATCAAGGCAATGTTATAGATTCACTGTTTGGAACATCACTTCTTCTTCCTGCCTTGAAATACCCTAGTTGTAAAATGAAGGTGATGATATTTATGCACCTACCTCTGAGGAGGTTTTTTGAGGATTAATTTGCAAATGGCCATATTAATTTGCTAAGAATGCTGATACTTGGAGTTTAATTTCCCTCTCCCTATTTAACATTTAAAAGGCTTTTTTAGCATTTTGTATCAGCTAAATTTCTGTCTACAGCATAAATGCAAGCCTTGACACATCTCTCTCTTATTCAGTCTCCATTTGTTTACTCTCTTGTCTTTCCAGATAACTATGTGGTGACAGACCATGGCTCCTGTGTTCGGTCATGTAATGTTGATACCTATGAAGTGGAAGAAAATGGTGTTCGGAAATGTAAAAAGTGTGATGGGATTTGCAGCAAAGGTATAAAACGCATGGGAAAGTATTTAGTTGTATAGCTTTGAGAGAGTTTAGTTGAGAAAGTGCCTAACCAAACAGGACTCAGCCTGTTATTGGGGAGCTCTCAATGCAACTGCAATATAACTATCCAATAATAGTAGAGTGGCCTAGGCAGGCAGTTCAATAGGGAAACTGGTGTTGCCTTGCATGTGAAAAAAGTAAATTCTGCCTTTAGTACAGGTGTAGGCCTTTGTATTGAGCTAGAATCCCTTTAGCTTGCTTTATAGTGGTTTTAATAAGCTTTCAGGCATGTTAACTAAGTTGACCCATGCTAGCATAAAAGAAGCTAAGGGAAGCAGTGTAAGAAGATCGGGGTCCTAGGTGAAATAAATTTCTTGAGAAGGCTATCCAGTCTTAGGACATCAAAGCTTGATTACAGGTTCAAGTCACTATGTTCTAGGTGACCAGCAGAATAATACAAGAGTGTTTCCTTTCTGACCATATTTGTCAAAGTTTCCATCGAGTTCTGATGTAAGCCTTTGTTTGAGGAGGGGGATAAAAAGGGGCTCAATGCTCTGACATGTCTTCCTCTGGTGTCCTTTTGTGGAGGTTCCCATTTTCAGATGTAATACAGATCCAAAGCTTCTTAGAATTTAGTCTCAGAATTTGGGTAAGATCTCCCTGATGAGCTGGCTGCCAGCTAGAAATTCTGAACATTTAAAGATGGAGAGATTCCAGGTTGTAAGACCTGCTTATTTCTGCTTGGGTCACAAAAGTATATCTAGATATGTATTGCATTTTTCTTGATTTGCTAGCAGTATTTGTAATTAGAAGTTCTAATAAAGTTTGCTTTTGTGTTCACTCTGTTGAAGGACTTATTTTGCATGTAAACAGGGGCTGTCAGTAGAAACTCTCAGACCCCCAGATCTACTTTTGGGTTCAACACAAGATTGCTCAGTTTAGATTCCTGCCTTTTGCATTCTCTGCTCTCCCCAGCCTTCTGACCTAGTAAAACAACATGTTTGGAAAGGAGTGCCTAGGTACATGCTGGGACAGGCTCACGTCATGGGCCACACAAACACTTTTACAGTTCCTTTCAAAAATATGTAACCTATTGTGAGAGGCAATTTTCTCTGAAATAACTGGTGCCAGCTACAGTTAAAGATGAGTGGACTGGATGGATGTTGGGTCTAAACCAGCATGACAGTGCCTGTGTCCCAAAACCCCCAGCTTTCCTGGAAGATTCCGGGTCTTATCCTAGTGTTGCAAGTAACATATGCATCAGCTGGGAGTAGAGATCATGAATGAGATCATACCACAGCCTTCACTTCACCTCTGCTGAAAAATCACATCCACAGTTTCATCTTTTCTTGACTTACCTATTATAAATTCTAACTATGTGGCCTCTCCAAAGCCAAGCTGCTGAGACCTATAGCTTACAAAAAAAATCTACATCCACTCCATCTTTGAACGGCCTTTATTTACTTACCACTCACTTCAGTCATAGCTATACCCTGGTTGCCACATACCTTACAGATTTAATGCATCTCTCCCTTCGCTGTTCATCTTTTTTGTCTCTTACATTAGTCTTGTCACTTGGTTCCTGGGTTAGTGTTGGTGTAAAAGAGATGAATCAGGCTTTCTATTTCTAACAACATCTCAAACATCTCTCCAGCCCTTGCATATGGTTGTGAATTACCTTTTTCCTTTCACTTTTGCTCTTCTAACTGAATTTTACATTTGTAACCATCCAGGGACAAAGTAGTGTAAAGGGACCCTTTTATAGATCAGACATAGTCTCACAATGCCAATATACTATGGCTCTTATATTATTGCCATATCCTTTAGTCTGTCTTATCATTCTGTAGTTAATTTTATAGTATATGACTTCAGCCCTAAATAACACTGTGCCAATATTTATTTTCTTATTTTTTCATTTTTAAACTTGCTGGGGAAAAAATGCAACTTTTGGACTCTTTTTTTTTTTTTTTTTTCCCCCACCCCACCCCACCCCATTTTTGACAGTTTGCAATGGGATCGGAATAGGTGAACTTAAAGGGATTCTCTCCATCAATGCTACAAATATTGACTCTTTCAAAAATTGTACCAAGATCAATGGGGATGTCAGCATCCTGCCAGTAGCATTCTTTGGGTAAGTTGTCAACTGAGGCTTCTGTGGCCTGTGGAGAGGGGGCTGGGTTGGTGATTTAGATGCTGCAGCGGTTAAAGCAGATTTGCTCTTGTTTCAAAAAAATCTTTATTCTTTTTGTTGTAGTGATGCATTCACAAAAACCAAACCTTTGGACCCAAGGAAACTAGATGTCTTTAAAACAGTCAAGGAAATAACAGGTTAGTGATATATTTGGCTTTAAATTTTGCCAGATAGTTATCATCCTGAAAATGCTTCTCTTAATACAGGTGTAAATCCAGAGACATTGCTTTCAATGGCAATAAAATCCTGTAGCTCCCCTCAAAAGCTTATCCAAAATACATGATTTTCCCTGGCACTCCCATCTGCTGACTTGTTGGACTCCTAAGAGTAAACTAGCAATACTTTTGGGGGCTGAACGGGGTGAAGTAGAGGCACAGAAAATGTTATCTCAACCGAGTGTAAATAATGGGTATATTTCTATTTATGGATTTTTTTTATTTTTTTTTAAACATTTTGGGAAATTGTGCTCAGTCGCTTACATCTCATGAGTGGAAGATGCTCCTAACAATCTCGATGCCCATGCCTGGGACCCAAAGGTAACACAGATGAGCAGCTAGTGCTGAGTTTTGATCTTGCAACAACATAAGTTGAGACTAGAGCCCAGCGAATCCACACTGTTAGAAAAGTAGGATAAGGTCAGAGCTGGACCTGCAAACTTGACCTTGACTATTCCTTATTTTCAATCTACTCAATTACTTTTTCAGTAGCTGCTGCTAAACTTTGGGAAAATGCATTTTTATATCTTATAATGCTATGTCCCAAATGCTTTCCCTTTCAAATGCCTCATTTAAGCAGGAAAATCTGTTTGTTTAGCTGGTAAACCCAATTTTGCTTTTCCCTGCTCAGCATTTCCATTCCCTAAAAGCAAGTGGTGTTGGAAAGAACAGTGCTTTTCTCATGTTTCAGTGAAACTTCTACTACAATATTTCCTGATGAGCAGAAAATCCTGTGGTCTCTCTCAAATACACTAGTTGTATATCTTGGTTACACATAACCTCTTAAAATATGAAGCTGTTCTGGTGGCCTAAAAGTAAATTGTTTACAAAGCAGTGTTAAAAATATCCTTGCACTCCTGAAAATACAATCCATTGTTTTTAATTCTTGTAAAGACTCAAAGGAGGCAGAGTTTCTTCCTGAGCTCAATAGCAGTTGATTTAAAAGCCCATTTTCAAGGTGGTATTTGGAGGTTTTGTTTTGTTTTCATGATGGGATTTGTGTGTTTCAGGGTTTTTGCTGATTCAAGCTTGGCCTGAAAATGCCACCGATCTCTATGCTTTTGAAAATCTGGAGATTATAAGAGGCAGAACTAAGCAACAGTAAGTAAAGAATGTGCCAGAATGAGTGTGAGAGACTCTGTTTACAGCTGTGTTTGCCTGAAAGGATTAAATAATAAACGTTTTGCAAAGCTAGGGCTAAATTCTTGACTGGCATAAATTGGTGCTGTCGAGTTGAAGTCAGTGGAGCTGAGCCACTTACTATCAGCATAAAATTTGACTTTGTGTGTCCAAGTGACTATGTCAAGAACTTTCCTGTTTATAGGTGAGAAAGGGATGGTTTTGTGACCAAAATACACAAGCGGGGACTCAGGGAATCGGGCTCCAGTTACTGGTGCTCACTATGGCTGTGAGAAGCTTCAGTCCCTGATTCAATTCGGCGGAGATTCGACCCAATTCGGCGGCCGAATATCTGAATCCAAATCAAATCAGGAGACCCTTTAATCTCCCTGAATTGAATCGGAACCATCTGAATAGATTCGGAGAGACTCAGAAAGAGTTGACGATTCAGACATAGACACAGCTTTAAATGTTTTTCTACAAACCTCAAGGAACCAGCGGCTTGTGAATGCTGAGATGGTGGAGGTGCATGGAGCACAGGAGCGTGGGGGGATCCCAGCATGCTAGGCAGCAGACCAGGAAGTGGACCAGAAGCACTTCCAGTTCACTTCTGGGTCTGCTGGGGATCGTGCTGGGGGCGCTCCTCTGCGCCTCTTCCCCCTGGCTTGGTGACTGGTGCTTCCTGGATCTGGGGGGGGCACCTGCGGTCTCCTCATAGCCAAACACCGAGCCAAGGGGGATGGGGGGTAGACTTCCGGGTTCACTGCCAAGCACACAGGGGACTCTCCACGCTCCTGTAGGACGCTCCATCCACCCCAGCATCGCAGCATTCATGAGCCACGCTGGTACCTCAAGGTATGTAGAAAAAACATTTAAAGCTGTGTCTATGGCCGAATCACTGGATTTTTTTTTTCCCCCCAAATCGGCATCGAATCTTCAGATTTGGATTTGGCAAAATTGAATCGGGGACAGTGATCCAAATAAACAAATTGAATCACTGTCCTGGATTCAGTCTGAATCCGAATCGAATACAGCCCATTTCGCATGCCCCTAGTGCTCACCTCGCAGATTTCAAGCAAGTTCCACAGTCTGCGCATGCATCAGTTCTGCATCTGTAAAACAATATTTTGTTTCTTTCATTCTTCCTCTGTCTTTTCTGGAGTTTGTGACTTGTTTGATGCTGGAGTTTTCACTACTTATGCATTTGTAGGATCCATAGCACAACAAAGCCCTGATATCAGGGCTCTCAAGAGTGAATAACAACAGCATTGCCCAAAAGTCCTAATATGACTCAGGGCTTATTATCTTCAGTGCTATCCTGGCACAGTAGTGTGGCACAGTCCAATACAAACTTACTTTAGACTTACTCTATTTTTAGCATGTGTAGGATACAGTATAGAGATCCTGAACTGTAGAATTTGACTTCAGATGCTTGCAAAGGTCAGATATGAATATTATGGTGGCTTTACAGTATGTATGGCACAAGAACAATTCGTAATGTTATACCTGAAGTTGGGGGACTTGAAACAAAACTCCATGAACAAAACTTATATTCGCTATCACATCTCAGTCTCAAATCAAAAAGAAAATGTACCAAGTAAAACTATGTTTAACCATCCTTTTCTTTCTGTCTGTTCTTTTTATCCTGTTTCTATGTTAGTGGTCAGTATTCTCTTGCTGTAGTTAACCTAATGATACAGTCCCTGGGATTGCGCTCGCTCCAGGGAATAAGTGATGGTGATGTGGCCATCATGAAAAACAAAAACCTCTGCTACGCTGATACAGTGAATTGGCACAGCCTATTTGCAACACCTACTCAGAAAACAAAAATTGCACAAAACAGAAATAAAACTGAATGTGGTAAGTTAATAACTATTCATAAAAATCTTTGTGGACCAGTTACTCTACTGTTGTTAGGTTTTGTTTATTGAGCAACAGAATTACAGAAATATCTCCATAGCCCAGCAGTAGAGCTGATAGTCACGTCCACCCCAGTGTCAACTCACATGCCTTACCAGCCAAATATTCTTGATACCTCTGTTTTATAGCTCCCCTGAATCCTAGCCTATAGCCAAACACAAAGCCTAGTTCCTCACTATTGCACTGAAATAAACCACCCTAACTCTGGCTTCTGCTATTTTAAGAGAAGTCACTAGCAGACCTGCCTCTTGTGGTAGCACTTATAACATGGCTTCTAGAAGAGGAAGTCTGAGGTGAGGATTAAGATTTTTCACTGGAATATGATTGTGGTGAGCTGGATGCATTTAGTTGCATTTGTTTCTATGCTGGACATGGGAAAAGTCAGCAGGAGCTTTGTCATTGGTCTAGGGTTTGACCTTTGGGATCTCAACATGTATCTGGGGCTGATCAAATGAGTATAGTAAGGCTCATGTGAATATCTGGTTAATGAGTGATGCCCTGGATTGTTATCCACAATAGCTTTTCATTTGGATGCAAGGAGGAAGCTCAGTCAAATTTCAGTCTCTTGCTTGATGAGGGCAATGGCTGAGGCTGCACTAATGAAAAGTCACTTCCCTCCCGATGGTACCAAGAGCAGAGCGCCTAAGGACGGTTTGCTATCTGCAGTCTGTTCTCAGCAAACTCAAGGCCTCAACATAATTTTCAAGAGGTTAATATTATGAGGTACTGAGCAAACAGAATTTGGATTCTGGCAGCTGAGTTTCCAGTTGGAGGGAATTAAGTAAATAAAGCCTCTGACGCTAGGTATAGGCCCACAGTCACTTACACTGGATGGAAGTCTGTGCATAAGTGGGAATTCAAAAAATGGAGTATGGAACATGGCCCCAGCACCCTGGGGGTGGTTGCATCCCAGTTCTATCATGCCATGGCAGCATCTGCCAGGGACATTTGAGTCCGTGGAGCAGGTAAGACTCCTATCTCCTCCTCCCCCACCCTGCTGTCACCCCTCTCCTCCATTCCCTTTCCTTCCCTATCTCCAGCAGGGTTTGCCTACAGTTTGCTGCTGGGCATAGGAAGTGGGGACCAGTTTGCTGCCACAGTCCCTGCTGGTGTCCCTCCTGGCCAGGAGCAGGCACTGGAAAGGGGCATCACCCATTTCTTCTCCCCTGTCAAGCCCAGCACCCCATGTAGCCATTCCCTGCAGCTGAAGCCTGTAGCCTGGGGAGAGGGGAAATGTTGTGGAGGGAGAATGACTAGGGACATGC